AATGCAGTGACTTCCTCTCCTCCCACACCCCCAGCGTTTCCGATGCTAGCTGAATCCCACACTAACCAGCCAACGCTACTGAATCCATATTTTACAAAATGCATTTCTTTTGGGTTACAAATGAGGATGAAATTTCAGTGGAACGCTAGGTCTACATGCATGTAGCTGTACAAGTAATTTAAGAAAAAAACAAACCAAAAACCCAACAAACAACCCCAAACAATGCACTGTAATCACAGTGTTAAAGCTCTAAACCACAGGGCATCTGCACTCTAGCAGTTGCAATGAACTCTTCCTTTTATTTTTTTAAATGTTTATCTACATGCCTGCACTGTGAAAATCGGCTTTCTCAGGGAAAAAAAAAAAAAAAAAGAGAGAATGGCTACTTTCAGGTAGTGCAGTAACACTCAGTATAGGTATTTTAATTTCTTTACACAGTAAACAGACTTTTATTTATACCAACACCTTGGTCTGTACTTTCTTATTTACATGAAACACTTTTACATATATACATGTTAGCAAAATACAGGGCTTTCCCCAGAACCAAATGCATGTCAGCTATATCATAGTTATACAACTAATGCTTTAAAAAAAAAAAAAAAGCCCACCTCACTTGATTTCTTACGCACAATGATTCCGTTTAGCTAAATACTAAAATCATCTTCATCTCCCTCCCATGTTGTAATTTCTCCAGTTACAGAATACCATCTGCTCGAGACTGAAAGCTGCAGTTCACTCTGGCAGTAAGGAAGAGGTTTCAAGAGTCCAGCTCTAATTGTTCTTGATTTTCACTGAGTCTTAACATAAGCTGTTGTTCGTAATAAAGGCTCTTTGCATAGTTTATTTCTTGAGATAGCTTTACTGCAAGAACTTCAGATGTCACTTTCACCTGCAAAAAGGAAATGTGATTTTTTCTTTAAGGTGGTACTGTTACTGCCTAAAGCAGAATATGTTTATTTTCTATTACTGCACTAAGTGAGGGGACTAGGTTTGAAGTCTCCTGTAAGGAACAGAAATGTTTCAGTGGAGATTCCTTCTCAGTGCTGAGGCTGCAGTAAGGAAGAAGTTGCAGAGGGAGAGACAGGTAAATAGAAATGGGTATTTTAGGATGAGAGCAGAACATCTTGCAATATTTGAAGTTGGTTTCCTTTGCTTCCCCTTGTACCTTTTATCTGTCTTGTCTGTTTGGAATGTAAACTGACTTGGGTCAGGGGTGAGCTTGTAACCCTGTCTGTAAAACAGACCCTTGAGCAACTACTGTAATGAAGCAAAAAAAACCCCTGTAATGGGTTTTAGAAGTGAGAGTTCTGATTAACTTTTACATCCATGACATAAACACAATTTCCAATCTTAAGATACTTTGTAGTTAAAAAAAAACACTGTGTAGGAGGAGAAGACTAGAGTAAATAGAATGAAGTACTTAAGACATGTATGTCTTGTAAAGTTAAAAGTACCTTTCTCAGGTAAGTAGACATTTCCTAGTGTAACTTTTCTGCCTGTAGGCACATTTTCAATTTTTCCCTTCAGCTTTTCTCAGGAGCTTAGGGAGCAAGTTCTACTGTCACCTACGCCTTTTCGGCAGCAGCTATTTTCACTGCTGACAGAAGAAAGTTTTCATTGTTAGGGAGCACAGGAAACCAAAACCACTAGTGACTACAAACACAAACACGCATGAAGGGGAAAAGAAACCGAAACCCCCGCAGAAACCCCCGCATGCAGGAAACAATAGGTGCCAGCTGCTTACCATTGGTTTTTGCTGTGATGGGCCGGGCATTGCTACACCACTGCTTGTATTAACAGCTTTCTTCGTCAACTGTATATACACATTCCCATGGTCTTTTGAAACAAGGCAGTGGTAGAGGTCATCATACTTGACTTCTAGGAAGATGGCGTCACGGTCTGTGTAATCACCGCACAGCTTTAGATGAAATGAGAACACAATAGCTGTCTATGTTCTCCACCGCTATGAAGCTGCAAAGAAGAAAAAAAGGAAGAATTATTCACTTGAAGCTAAAAATAGTAAACTAACAAACATCTTCACCTGTTATGTTTTGAGTGACCTTTAGAAGTCTTTCAGAAAAATTAATAGCTTAACATGTTCCATTCATCTGTATTTAATTTAAACTGTTCTAAAAATCAAGCTGATGAAGTACCCTCTCACCCAGTTAAAAAAGATCATGCTGTAAATCAAACACTAGCACTAAATGCCTGGCTTCTACCTTTGGACATTAAAAGGGCATATAAAAATATCCTTTAACAAGGCTGAAGAGGAGTAATTTCCTTGCATTGGAACGCTGCAAGTCCTAATCCTGAAGCTGAACTGTAACTGCAGTTCCATTGCTGATCTGTGACAGGTTTGCAGACATTCATGACAAGAGCATTATCCTTCTTCTACACATTGTAAACCTACTGTGCTTCCTTTTACCACACACTTCCCTTGCCTTTGAAAACAAAAAACAAGTTTAACCTGCTGCCTGGATCAGTAGCTAGAAAAGAGAAATTAGCTGTTTAACACCGGGGTGAAAGGTTAAGCAGCAGGCAGGTTCCCCCAGAGAGATTAGTCTGAGTGATGAATAGTGGACATAGAAAAGAGTGAATTAAGAATATTGAGACCTATTATGGTGGAAAAGGTTGATGCATAAAAAAAAATAGCAGTAAGGAATGCAAAAGTAAAATAGATATTTTTTATCAGAAGCGCTTTTCCCCCACCTCTGATTTACTACTGAAATGAATCTCATTAGTGGGTTTTTAAAACAATGAAAAATTAAGGAAATTAATACATCACTAAAAAAGAGTGCTAAATAGACTAACAATGTTCTGTCAGCACCCTGTGGCAGTAGAAGCATATCTGGAAAACTACGATTCTCATGCTGTCAGGTTCAAAATTCCTGTTCTCTGAACTGCTGCTTGGACAGATCTGTCTGCTCTTGTCCTAACGCATTCTCCAAAATTCTCCAGTCTTTGAAATCAGTGAGGATTGTCAGAGGTTTTGGTAGATCAGAAAAGCTTAGCATCTCCAGAACGACTGCTGGCTCTACTATTAAGTAACACTTTGCACAAATTATTCCGAGCTGTATCCAAATAAACCCATAGCTATAAATGGAGTTTTAGTAGGGGAAGGTTTTGTCTTTGAAGTAAGTTAATTAGGATGGAGAGGGATATTTTTTACGAAGTGTCATAGAAAATGTTAAAGCAGCATTATAGCCTGCAGAATAATAGTCTTGTTCATTAGGCCAGGCACATGAAAGCAAGCACAGTATTTACAGAAATCCGAGCTTTGATTCGGGTCAGACTTCCACTGCAAACGAAACCAGAGGAAACTTCTGGCACATTGGCTTTCTTTGCGTCTTCTCCAGAGGGGTAAGATGATGAAAGGGGGATTATCAGAAACCCCCAATACTCTATCACTGTCCTTTGCAACTGTCACAGCAAAGCTGAGAAGGTTGAAAAGGTTTTGTATATCCACAAAAGCAGAGCAGCTGTTTCCCTGCTGTCTGGTATTAAGCCCGCCGTACGGGGGACATCCATCCCCAGAACCGCAGCACCAAAAGCTGCCATAAAGCAACTGGGTAATCAGACTACAGGTTTGTGTTTTTTCCAAAGGAACAACAGATTATATATACACCGTAAATTTCCATACAAGATTTTTACTGGTGTCGTGTATATATGTTGAGGAATGGAAACAGAGGACAGTGATTTAATGGTGAAGCACAGGAACATTAGCTAATTTGTAGTTCAAGCTCTACATTTTGTTCTAAGTTTGAGTCATGCATCATTACCCATTTTCTCTTGCCAACTGTTACTTTCTTCTCTGTGTCTAGTTCTCAAAATGGGTATTTAACCTTTTAAGATATTACTTCAAGATACAACTTTTTTTTTAACTCATATTTCTACACTATTAAAAAGATCTCAAATTAATAAAATGAAAAATTAAATGAAACACGATCCAGTAGAACAAAGTAGAAGCAACCAGATCTCTGGAGAATTTGTGGGTTTTTAACAACATCAGGAAGTAATTACACAATATTTTCCAGAAGTGAAACAGTGAGCCTAACTGGAAAAAAATGTGGAAACATTTAGTTAGAACAGTAGAGCAAGGTATTAAACCCCCTTTTATGGATTTAGCTCTGAAGGAAAATATGCAAATAATCAGGTCTTTAAATGTGTTTCTGATTATGATACTAGGATAAAAGTCAGAGGCATGATTTCGTCCTTATTTTCTATGACAAGAAACCCTGTTTTCTTGTTGAATGATTTTCCTAGTGGTGAACATCACAGTGAACAAACAGTGCGCCTCGATGACAAACGCTCACTGATCTGCTTATGGGGTACACTTGCAAAAAGTTGATGATTTTTTTTTTGGTCACAGATTGCTTCTCTTTCACTTCTCCTTACCTAAGAGCCAGACTGCTTATGCATAAAGACCCTTAAATGAGGTGAAGGAGGATAATGAGGGCATAAGATCACAGGACCACAAGCAAGTGGCAGGTCACAAACTCTTCCCCCCAGGCAGCTGGAAGTGCAATCTGGAGTGGCACATGGCTTTCAGAGCCTGATCACTGACACTGGTGAAATAAAGATCCCCTGCTGACTTGGTACCTTCCTCTGTGAGCTTCACCATCAACAATTTCAACTACTTTGCCTTGGCAGATGGGCTGATGGATAATAGATGCAAAACAGTATCTTACACCCTCCCCTGAAAAGCTGGTTCAGCTCTGACCGTGGTGGAGATTGGGGACAAAAAAAAGATTTTGCAGGTTGTTTTGGGAATAAACTGTTAACAGCTGTACTTGTTTTATCAATGCACGTGGAGAGTTAGACATGTATTGTGCATGTTAAGCGGACTAATGATGACTTAAAAATTACTGAGATTTTGTATTTTTTAATGATAGAAGGGGACCAGGGAGATTAATGGAAGCAGGCGGCAGCAAACCAAGTCTCGGATTCTTCCCCAGCCTGGACGTGATGTGTGATCAGTGGCAGTTGGCAAGGAGTGAACCAGAGGAGCCCTGTGGCACCTGCAGGGATGTTTGCATACAGCCGGCGGACGGGCCACCGTGGAAGTCATCAGGTGCTCATGCTGCTGAGCGGCACCGAGAAAACAAAGGAAATGTATGTGTGTGTGTGCACACGTGTAAAGCAGTTTTAGTCCCTCTTCCCCAAAGACACGAAGATACAATAGCAGCAAACAGAACTACTTCAAGTAGCCGTGTCAGTCAGTACTTACAACTCATCCTGGATGTTGTCGGTCAGTTTGAACAGCAGTTCTTGTCCTTCCGCTTGACTTTCCAAATAGCGAGGCAAGAGCCCTTGAGGTCCTCTGCAGCAGCGTGGCTTTCTCACTCTCTCCACTTGTGTCCTACGTGCAAAATAGATGCAGAGAAATGACTCAGTGCAACAGCAGTGCTTTTCTTTCCATTAAACCTGTCAGCAAACAGAGTTGTATTAATTCTGAAATATGAAATGTGTCAAAGCCTTTAAAAAGCCTTCACAAATACAGCATATAGAGCCTGTACTGCTTGACCTGGAAGACATGGTGTCTGTTCATCTAGTTCTGCGTTCCAAAGCAACGTCTCCCAGTTCTCCTCTGCAATTAAGGGGCTGTGTGCTAAACTGATAGCAGGAAGAGCAACCTAACTGGAGTATAGTGTCTGCAGATTTTGGGTTCTATTTATCAGCAGAGTTTATTGATCTGACTTTCTCACTTCTCTACAGGAAATAAGCGTGCATCAACCTGGACAGAGTTCACCTTGACGGACAGCGTCAGGAGTTTGAAAATTGAAGGGTTACAGAAATAGGCACATGCAGTTAAGTGAAGACAAATGAAAAATCCACAGCTAATTAGAGTCTCTGGAGTAGGGTTTAGCATACTTTACCTTTCTTGAGGGTCTGTAAAAATGACAATAATCAAGGACACACACGTGTGGCCTAACAGACAGCAGAGGTTGATACTGGTCAGTCTGTAAAAATGACAGTAATCAAGGACACACACGTGTGGCCCTAACAGACAGCAGAGGTTGATACTGGTCACACTGCTAAAGAACTGCAGGCTGGGTTCCTCCCTTAGCAGTTATTTTGTTAAAAAAATAATATTCTGAATTCCTTTAAGCTTTTGGAACGCCCTACCCCTGAAGACTTGTGTTACAGGCTGCCTAGCCCTGCTTTACTCTCTGTCCTTTCCCAGCATCACTCTGGGTCTGCTGCATTCTTTTTCCTCTCTCTTTCAGGCTAGTGCTCTTAATAATTTTCCGAGCCAAATGCACCATTTCCGATTAGCGCTCACTACTTGCCATCTTGGTGCTTTGTAAAGATCCCGTACAATGAACTGTCCTTTTTTGATCAAAATACAGGAAAAAAATCCCATGTAATAATGTGTTTTAAAAACTTTTTAAGCTGCTTGGCAGTAGCACACAAGAGTACTTGCCTTCTAAGCTTTACTTTCTGCAGATGTTTTCTCTGGAGCCTTGTTTCTTGTTACCTTTCCCTTTCACCAGTCCTGCCCCAGCCTTGCAACCCATGCACCCCTTTAGAAGTTGCTTTCCTTCGAGTCTTCGACACCTTTGCCTTTTAATGGTGACATACTAAAAACCCCCCCCCCCTTCCATTCTTGGCTGCAGTAAATGTTACTGGAACAGAATCTCTTGCGTGTCATCCATGACTTGACACCGTCTTTGCTGCTCTCCCGCTGGGTGGCTGGCCTCTCACTGTTTTGGCTAGCGGTGCTCTGTCTGGTATCAAGGATGTATTTTGCAAACAAGGTACAGAAGCCAGAGATACCGGCTTTCCAGCACATCAGAGAAAAACATCAGCCAATTTATATTTTTAATACATTGTCTGGTAAGTTTTGATGTTGTTAATGAGATGACTATATCCCTGAGCTGCATAACAGATTACAGCGGCTCAGCAGGAGTGCTTATCGCTGATCCTCTTTGAGAGGAACTTCAGGAGAGACCCTTCTTCACTGCAGCCGAGTTATGGTTATGCTGAGATGGAAAGTCACTTTGTCAGCAGGGAGGATGAAATGAAAAGTGGAAATTCTCCAACTAAAAGAATGCGAAACAGAGTATGGGCTTAAGAAACCATAACAAATGTCATTAATAGTGACAGTAAAATGTTATCAGTCGAATTTTCAGCTTTACCTCTGCTGACATGTTCTCACCGCTTTACCTGTCCTGCTGCTCTGCTTTCACCTCTGGTTAGACATTCATTAGTTAACTGTCCAAGAATCACGGGATGGTTTGGGTGGGAAGGGACCTTAAAGCCCACCCAGTGCCACCCCCTGCCATGGACAGGGACACCTCCCACCAGCCCAGGTTGCCCAAAGCCTCATCCAGCCTGGCCTTGAACCCGTCCAGGGATGGGGCATCCACAGCTGCTCTGGGCAGCCTGTCCCAGGTTATTATGGTATTTACAGTATTAATCACAGTGTTATGCATCCAACCTAAAAACTGCCACTATGAAAACTGCAGTTGGCTGGATAACGGTACTTAGTTTTCCTCATTTGAAAACAGTGCAATGTCTTAAAACTATTCTTCCATTAGTAGCTTTCCTCTGATTGAGATTAACCTAAACACTAGGTAAACAGAAGACTTCCACAACCTATGTATGACTTAAAATCACTCCTGTGAGTAACAGCTGTACGCAGTGGTTAGAACTTCACTGGGACTGGTGTAAGCCACCTCTCCCGCCCCTTATTTTTTTTTAGATTTAAACAGGATTCACCTGCATTGGGCACAGTTACATGATAGAATTGTTATCTTTCTGAAACTGCACCAGAAATGAACAAATAAGTGCCTGTTTTTATCTACTAGATTCTTACAAAGTAGTAAACAAACGTATGTGTTTGCCCTTATGAAATGCGAACTGTTGAGGCAAGGTTCCAAAGAAAGCGAAGGGTTCCAGCCCGTGTAATTCACATCTTGCTGCTTGTCCTCCTTCCTAACTTCCAAAAGCAGTAAAATGGCAAAATTTCACTTATGCAAGAAGTCCGTTAAACCTCTCTGCAGCGCCTGTAGCTTCTATTGACAAGTTTAAAGAGTATCTGAAGCATAATGTAGTTGTTAATTAACTACTGGCCAGTCAATAACTTCTTCCTTCGACATGTTCCTGTGATGAATTCAGGAAAGTCAGATAACCATCGACATGGGAGTGAGCAACAACACTGCGTAATGGTTTTTATATTAACCATCTTTCAGATAAAGGTTCAACTGTGCCATTTTCTCTTAATTTTCTGGAGAAGAGAAGAGGTATCTAAAGCACTGCAAGCAAGGCAGAACGGGTCCTTTTCGTCAGACCTGTTCCACAGAAACCAGAACATCAGCCAACACTGGTTTCCAATGCCTGGCTTAGAAGCAGGTCAGAGAAAAAAGAACAACAGAAGTCCTACAGAAGTCTTGGGCATCACAATGAATTTCTGGAAGGCCAATTGCCGAGTTGTGGGTTTGGTTGTGGTTGTTTTTAGGTTTTGTTTTTAAATGGAAGACTTAAGGGTACAGTGCTTACTGTCCCCCCTGCTTCTCCATGCTAAAATGTTCATCCTGGTGATAACAGATAATTCTCATTTTAGTGATAAGAAGGTCAGCTGCTTTTCAACGAAGATGCCACCAGCGCTAGCAAGAACGGCATTGATTTAGTCTATCACCCCCTTGGGAAAATGGTCTGTTTGGTCTGGACAGCTGAAAACATTCCACACGACTTCATTTTTTTTTTTTTTAAATCTAAAAATTTGTTCTACTGTCTCAAGTTACGTTCTGTAAATAATAAGCAACACTGATGAAATACAAAAAGCTGAAGATTTGTAAAGCAGAATGAACAGTGGTGTGCCCACATCTGTGTTACATTAAACACGCACTCAACAGATTTGCTGATTCTTCTTTAATAAGCACACAAAGGCAATACAAGGCAGCAGTGCCCTCGTGTCCGCTCGTCACAGCAGGGAAGGGTGCTGCTGAATGAAGGCACAAAGAGATTGGAAATGGTGTCAGGAGGTTCAGGCGCACACTCCAGTTCCTCGCTGTTCAGAGAAAGCTGGACACTGGAGAATCTCATTTCAGATGACTGTATGCACACTAAGAACAGTTATCAGTGTTAACTAGTTGGCTTTGGCTTAACAGGTCACAGAATCCTTGTGACTCCGTTGACCAGTTCTAAGCCAGAAGTTTTGTAATCAAGCAGATCACTGACCCATTGATGTGAGGAAGCTGTTGAGGCATTATTGGTGATAATTATTTACCAACTTTGCTTGAAAAAACTCTACAAGAGACACCACACGGTTTACACAATGACTTCTCTTGTTCCTTCACTGCACATTCACCCCTATCAGGCACCTTACCAGGTACGCAGCTGTGGTTCCCGCTGAGGGGCATAAACACACAGTGGTCTCGAGAACAGTAACTGTTCCTCATCTTTGAATCTTTTGGAGCTAAAAAAAAATTCCTTGAAGGGTACCTAGACTGCTTTGACAAAAACATTAAAAAAAATTAAAAATCAGAAGTCATCAAACTTTGTATACCAACAGATTACAGTCCGTGGAAACAAACACTGCACGTCTACAGGCATACACTAATTTCCATCTTCCAGCTTCCTTAGTATCACACCCAGAATAATCAGAATAAAACAACTTTACAAAATTTAGCAACTTCTCCTGAGAGAAAAAAAAAAACCAACAAGGAAAAACCCTGTGACGGACACAGTAACCACAACAGCTTCTCATTTAAAAGGTGTGCTCTGTCCCCTCGGTAAGAGAGCAGCGCCGGCAACTATGGGTCTGTTCCCAAAGCCCCACTGAGCATGTCTGGAGATTCTGATCCATAACCGGTGGAGTGCAAGGACACCCCACATCCTGCACAAACAGCTCTGAAGTGCAAGGAGAGGCAGTTCTGCCATCTGAAACCAGTGTTTAATGGAAGAGGCTCTCACAGAGACTTCTGCTGTGCTGTGTGCCTGTCCCCAGAATCCCAAATCGTTCTAGGTGACAACCACCGGTGTGCAGATCAGCCGTCTGGCCACAGGGCTCTCCCCAATAATCTCTAGGAATAATTTTTCTCGCTAGACCTAGTTCTTGCTGCCAAAACTTCCAGCAACTGTCCTCAACGTGTCACGTTCATAAAGGTGTTCAGTTTAACAACCTCATCGTTCCAGCCCATTCAGAGCAGTAAATGACTGGTTCTGGGATAGCTCAAGTTCTGTCACTGTTTCCATTGTAAACTTGTTTTTTTTTCAGGTTTGCATAAAATTTATTGATAAAAGCCCGCTCTGGGCTGTAACGTGGCATACTGGCTTTCAGCCTGGGAACAATTTTTGTCTCCTTGGAATAATTATAAAACAACTTTCTTCAAACAAACGAAAACAGGCAGGTAA